AATCCTGAGGTTCATCTGCCGGGGCCAAGCACGCTTGGACGGTGGCAGCGAGGTCCTCAGGACGTAGATGGATTGCCTTACGGGCTAACGAGCTCCATCTGCCCGGGGAGGGGCCCCGACCGGGAATCGAACCCGGGTCTCTGCAGTGACAGTGCAGTGTATTTTCCCCTGGACCACCGGGGGCTCCCCTTGGACAAATACTGAAACAAGAAATATGCCTCTTCCCTGCCCATCTAAAAGCCTGAGCTAACCAAAGGCATGACCCAGTCCCTTGGACACTCAAACATAACTGTGTAATAGAGTCTATGCTCAGCTGAGAAATCTTTCATAGAATCACAGAACGGTTTGGGTTGAAATGGACCTGAAAGTTCACCTTGTTCCACCTCCCTGCCATTGTCACGGACATTAGACCAGATTGCTCCAAGCCCCATCCAACTTGGCCTTGGACACTTCTAGCAAAAGGGATCTTTCTCGTCCTGGAGACAAGAATGACAAGGAACTGAAAAAAAGAAAATATTTTTATTTATTCCTTCAGAAGGGAAACTGAGGCAGAGAAGGATTAAGTGACTTGCATACAGGCAGACTGTAGCAGAGCCTGGAATAAATCCCAGAGGTCTGATTCTCAGTTTAGTTCCTTAACCACGAAATCACCCCTTGCTCATATCAGAGCATCCTTTGTCACCACAAATTGAGGGTCACAAGCAGTGGGAACAAAAGAGCTGGAGGTCACAGTAGTAAGAACACATTTGCTCTATTTAGGTAAATTCCCTTCCTGATAAGGCCATTCAAGATATCAGTGTTTTCACCTGAATGTGAAAGGTTCTGCATTCTCACTGTCAGTCCCTCGGGTCTCTCTATATTTCTTTTGAAAAGCCAAAGCAGGAGAGTTACAAGAATAATAACATTCATTAAAAAAAGCAATAATAATAGAGCTACAGTGCAAGAAGGAGGTGAAATTAAGTTTGGATTTGTAGCCTGCAAACGGCCGTGTGAATGCTAAAACATTACCTCTGTTGTTTAGCTCAGATAAAATTGTTTTGGTGCCAGCAGAAAATACCTTTCTTTAGGAAGGTCTTCTGGGCTCTAATTTGGAAATTCCAAAAGACTCATATGTATCCAGTTGTGCACTTGTAAAGAGGTGAGAGACCTGCCAATAAGTGATTTACAGTATGTTTTCCCATGTTTTACATTTTGGTAATTTCATGTTGCAACTCAATACCTAATAATGTAAAATCCAGCTCCTCCAACTAAGCCAGGAATGAACTCATGGAGGAGTGTCCCACAGGGAAGGGCATATACTTCATTACGTGTCTGTGTGCCAGCACCGGAGACGCAAAAACAGCTCTGTGGAGATTTGTCCTGTAAGGTCAACCCCCAGAATTGAAAGGGTTGGCTGAATTCACCTCTTGCTACTGACTGACTACAATTCCCAAGACTTGGACATCACCACGGAGTCTGCTGAGGTCAGGCTGCTGAACCTTGGGCTCAGCTGTGCCTTTAGAGGAAACTACCCGTGAACTACAGCTCAAGAGAAACCTGAAGGAAAGTTGGAGAAATGCACAATTCCTATGTCAGCATGATCAAGAGAGCACAGATCAACATCTGAACCATGAGGTGGAGTGTGAACTGACTCCT